GTAAAACGTTACAAAGCTTGAGTGAATGACAAAATCACTCTGAATGAGGTTTGTGAATCGTCACAACTGAAGCTAAAGAATCACTGGACACCTGAGCAAGCACCACTACACAAGTTTGTTACAGACGTTTTTCGAGGTGCTCCCAAGCTCAGACAGTTCAACATAGCTCTCTGTATCAAGTCACAAAACTTAAAAAGCCTACTAGAATATAAAATCACCATGGAGAACAACTAGTAAGGGATTAAAGAAGTGACGACTTGAACATACTAAGAAGTGATGGGTCCAAAGAAGCATCAGAGCATACAATGAATTTCTATTAACACACTGGGTAAGATTCAGGGGGGGGTCGAGAAAATACCAGTTAAAAACAGCCGAATGAATGCAGTGAAAGTAGCTCTCAGATCGAATATACAGAAGCAAACAGACGGGTGGTGAAGAATATCGGAACCGACAGGCAGATATACATAAAGACCTAACAATTGCAGTGAAACAAGCCGTAAGAGAAGGAAACATGAAAAAGCTATTCGATACGGTGAAGAAGCTTGGAGGGAAATACAGAGAAGCAGAGCAGTCAGTCGGGAACAAAGAAGGCAAACCAATCACTGAGGATCAACAACAGCGAGATAGATAGGTAGAGTAGTGTGAATACCTATCGAATTGATCGGCATCGCTGAGCACAGCCAACATTGAGGCAGCCCCGCCAACAATCAAAGGAATTCTCAAAGCCACCAGACAATTCGGGAATGCCATAGGAATAGTTGGACTGAACAGCATACTAGCTGGGGCACTTCAATCAGATGTGAAGGCAACTGCAAACCTGCTCCACGTTCTCTCCAGAAAGATTTGGAATGGAGAACAAGCACTAACAGACTGGAGAAGGATACTTCACCAACGTACCGAAGAAAGGAGACCTTAGTAAGTGCGAGAACTACTGAGGGAACACGCTACTGCCAGTGACTAGTAAAGTTTTCAAAAAAGTGTTGGTAAGCCGAAAGAATGCTTCAGTGGGCATCCGACTTCAAGATCAACAAATTGTCTGACGTAAGGATAGATCGCATACAGACCAAACTGAGACACTACGGGTCATTATTGAATAACTAGCTGAATGGAACTCACCGATTCACGTCAGTTTCCTTCACTATACGAAACCCCTCTACCGAACGGATAAGATATTCCTTGGCAATATGAAGTATATGGGAAGATTGTCACCATCATACAGAACTCCTACGTTGGACTGAGCTGCGACAGCGTGCATAAAGGATAACTCACAGGTGCATTCCAAATGAGGGCTGGTATCAGACAAGGCTACCTATCCTCCCTTCGACGGTCTTTCACTGGATTACGAAAATCTCAAGAAGAGGAAGGTTGATTATGAATACAGTGGTCTTGGGTGCTGTTAGAGGCATGAGGGCGGTTATCACTTCCCGGTTGCCCACACCGTGGAAGGGTTCTTCTGGAGGTACCTGAAAAGGAAATTGGATTAGAGGCGGTCTCAGTGACCTGAGAGCGTGACCGCAGTGCCCAAGGGACAACTGCTTGAGGCCGGTCGCGCACGGCCTTTTCATGGGAGGTTTTTGACGTGTTAGCTCCGTTCTTCAAAGGGCCTTACCTCCGGAGACGGAAATCCGTGAGGTAAGGTGAGGTGCGCATTTTTAGGGTCGACCTTTTCTAACCCCACCCCTCCTTGTGGGAAGGCAGCATCGCTGTCATGCTGGTTGTCTGAAGGAAACACCTTACTGCTGTCACACCTCTGTACAGTCAACAGTACGACTTCGCCTTTGGACCTTGGGTTTGTTGCTTTTAGTCTTACCGCTCTTCAACCGACCTGTCTGATATGGTAGGACCTTGAGGAACGGTTGTTCCAGCCAGTATAGCTCGGTTGCTTCATCACGATAGGCAAGCCCGACCACCACGTCAAGGTAGCAACAACGGTCGGGGAAAATCTCAAGAGCTTACGAGAAGTGAGAAAAACAGTAGACACTCTGGACACAGCTGGACTCCTTGAACTTTGCATATGAAATGGTCCTGTTATCTCATATATAGTAAAAAGTGCAAGTGAACACTGTCAGTGTAGCAGCGGTCTCTACAGAAGTCAGTCTCAACGTTCGTGAGGGACTCGAATCACGCTCGATGGCCAGCTTTCACGTACCGACACTCCTCAAAACAACTGTCACCCAAGATTAAAGTCAGAATTTACAACACTAACGTCAAGAAAGTTCTATTTTAGGGAGATAAAACTTAAAGAACTACTACCATCATCATCAAAATAATACAGATATTTATGAACAGTCAGTCGAGAAGCGAATTGGGAAAAGACATTGGAGATGTATTGTGACATGCTTTGTGCAAACCACTACCCTCTATCACAGGGAACGTTCTAACTTTGAATTCCCCAGGCTAAAGGAAATGTGACCGACTGAAGAATATATGGCTCTTGGAATTCGGAGGCAGACATCAACATCACGAACACCTGTTGGAAATAACTGGGAAGGAAAACCCAGGACAAAGTTGATTGGAGATCCCTGGTCGGTGGTTCATGCTATATGAAAAAGTAGTAGGCCTCAATATCGAAACAGTTTACGTGAATAATTCACTTCACGTTGTCTTTTGCTGGACATATTTTACAATATACAAACGAAGTTTTGAATGAGATGTTATCGAATAATACTACAATATATGTTTCACTACCATGAAAGTTAAACATTGCAGCAGCTATATCCTAGTGGGCAGTTGTTTTAAATATTCCACTACTTCTATTATTTTTTCAGTGGAGTATTGAATGAAAATCAAGTTATGCTAAGCAGTGACGTCTCCAAAACCAGGACTCACGAGCAAAAGACACCAGTGACATATTACCTTCAGCACTATTTGGTAAACATGCATCCAATTCACTCATCAAATCCGAAATAAGCTATTGACAGTGTACTAAGTTTTCTTCATGTTAGGTCTATTAGTTATTCCATTTTATATCACTACTCTCAATCCGAATTTTTCCTGATTTATTTAAAATTTAGCGAGTTATTATTACTAGTTTTTCCAATGTGTTTCTTCTTTATTCCTTAGTATATGGGAAAAGTGATATCTTCGTCGGAATGTCGCCACAAAATCCTAATTGTCAGATAAACCACAGTTATCATTTTAGAAAGACGAATTTTCTCTTTCTTATAATATAAGTTGAATTTTATTTATTTGAATTCAAGAATTATATGGCATAATGAATAGTTAATTTTGCAATTTTAAATGTAAGACTGCTCATGGATGTGTTAAGAATAGACATAAAACCCACGATAAGGAGAGGTGCATATAGATATAGTTAATATCTCTCGAATTGGTTTATATATATATGACTTTCGTTATTGCCGGGAGAAATTATCCGACAAGTTCACTCACGTTTAAAAATGATCGTAATTTAAAATGATAAATTGTCAAGCATGTTGTTTTTAAATATTGTGCTTATTCAATTTTAGCCATAACTTTACAATATAAATTGTAACAAATAATTTTGTAACTGTCAGTAAAGATAATTAATGCATAGAATCGTCTAGAGACCTTGTAAATGTGATTTCTAATCATTTTAATTTGTATTAATCATTGTTACTTTTTTTCTTTATCTTATTGCAATTAGACTAAATACAGCTAAAATGTATTATGAAATTACATTAAGAGTATGCATTTGAAGTGGTAGCTTGTTTCTTCCTTTATATAATTTTTACTTCATGTCTACAAACATTGTAACACAACATCCTCAAACTATGATGCACTAATACAGTTCAGTTTATAACAATAAAATATGATACTCTTCTCAATAGATCTTATTTAACTGCAAGTTTCTGTCAAGCATACGTAAAACACAGTGAGGTTAACAAACATATTAAACAATGTGTTGATGATGTTTGAAAGACTTGGACTGAAGATTCACTGTTATATATTACAAGTTCCTGTTAGTGACCAAAATGGGGTACCTACATCACAACGTAGACTTCAATAGACTTTCACTCCAAATATTTAATGACACCTTTGAAAATAGCACCATACTCCTCAGATTTTCGTCTTTGTACAAATTAACTCTCTAACGTAAAATATATTTATGAAGTTATCTCTTCAAACAATTGTTTATAAAAGAACAGAGTACTTTAATAGTATAAATTGTAATTGTCTGCCTCAGTTAACCGGTATCCGCACCTTTTGCTATCAACATATGCAGTTTTTAATAATACGACTTAATGATATCACATTATTTACCTTCAGAACGTTAACTTCAGAAGTTCAGAAATTCGCCCGTACTTTTTCTTATAAATTCCAGTATCAAAACAATATTTACAAGAGGACTAATGATTTCCGGTCATTTTACTGAAATGTTTATACTGAGGGAACAGTATGCTAAGATAATTTAAACTATAAACGTTTGAGGATTAGAACAGTACGAAGAAACAAAAAGTTATCAATGGTTATTAATTTTTACTGATCAGATCTTTGTTTAGAAATCGTTTTTCACTCTCAGTTGTAGTATTAGGTAATGTGAATAATGTAACTGACTCATACTAACATTGAATAATTAGTTAAGCATAACATTATTGAATTCTAACTGTGGTTAGTACCTCCATAATATCATAATTTTCACTAAACGCTACACTATAAGCTTCATAAATTTCTCTAATCAATGAATGAAAACCTATTCAACACTTGTGTTGAATATAACATAGATGTTAGAAGGTAAGATATGCCATAATCGATTTTAACAATTAAATAACAAAATAAAAGGAGGATATAAGAAATCCATAAAGGTGTTTATTTACTTATTTATCTTGTTTTTTGGAATGAAAAACATTTCAGCTTGGTTTAATCCCTTTGGATCATTAAAAATAGAGAAATAATATAAATAATAATAATTAACCGTTTGAGTGTATCGTGAATAATTTCATAAAATGAAGTATACAAAAAAAAAAGGAAATGAAAAATACCTGTTCATTAATAATGAGAAAAACGAAAAATTTAAACAAAAGAATACGATAAAATATGGAAATGAGCATATTTTCATTATTATTACTTCTTTATAAATGTAGTAAATGATTCGAGGAAAAGATTATGCAAACTATCCGTCTTAGATAATTTGATCTTTTGTATATCTATTACACTTTTCTGTCTGTAATTAAGTTTATTTAAGTTATTCACTAGATTCATGTAATCTCTAGGTCACATCATTGATAACAAGTAAAGGGATGTTTGCATTGAATTGTTTTGGTGACTATTCAGAAAACTTCATTGTATTTGTATGTATAACGTAATTGATTTTGAACTTATTTAAAAATATATAACTCTCTTTTTGTGTGCGTTAATTTATTCAATTGATGAAATTAAGTATTTATTTTTATTTAATAATTAATTTGGAAATAATTGAAGTAGGCTTGAAGATGTATTGGTTGTTAACATATCACCAATTGATGATTTTATAGTTACATGTACTGTTTGTGTATGTTGACGTAGATTTTCAGCATCTGTTGTACTGAAACCGCATTCTTCACATACATATAACTTATCTCTACGTTCTTTGAATGCATATTGTAATGGACGACCATGAACTTTACGACCATGTGCTTCTAAGGAGCATCGTTGGGTGAATGCTTTTGAACAATCTGAACATCTATAAGGTCGCACACCTAAAGTGAAAGATTTATAAATGAAAACAAGAGAAAGTCAATCATACTACTGAAGGTAATGTATGGATACTGTATAAGTCAATCTGCTCCTTTCAATGGTCAAATCAGAGTACTTTATAAAACCACACGAAAAATAACAATAAATAAACGATCCTACTCTAAGCAAATAATTTTTATGAACCATAAAATTACAAAACGGTTTACTAGTCTACAAAGCTTTTGCAAAAGCGCCGTGTTACATATTGACAGTACCATTGAGTAAATAGTTTTCCAGACATCTAAATATCGTAATTAAATGACCTCCTATGAAAGTTACATAATAATACTCAAACTTACTATTGCAGAATAAGAAAGACTATATTTGAAGTTATAGATACGTTTTTGGGGGTGAAATTCATTACAGACGAATTAATTCTAGTTTGTTACAAATATTCTTGTGAAGATTTTATACAACGAACTGATATCAGATGAGGAATTCTTTACACTCAAAAAGCACTGGATAAAGTTTTTTATCCGAGCCCCAACATCTAAACCAAAACTTTCGGTTGTATTCAGTACTAACTGATTTAAACAAATCACTGGTTTCCGTACACTATAAAGACTATGCTCAACTTGAACAGTTTTTCATAAATACAATATTAATCTTAAATGTACTTTATACTATGAAATACATTAACTTTTCTAATATATACCTAACATTACTGAGTTATCGAAACGATATTTGCGTGCATATTGTCCAACACCTTTGTTACATGTGCCCACAACCATCACCAAAAGGGTACAAGTATTTATAAACAATTGTCTACGTAAGATACTGAATGTCCATTGACCGGATACCATCAGCAACAGCCCACTGTGGGAGAGAACAAAGAAGCTTCCAGCTGAGGAGGAAATTCGGAAAACACGCTGGAAATGCGTAGAACAAACACGAGGCAAGCCCTAAATTGGAATCCTGTAGGGGAACGAAGAAGAGGAAGGCCGAAGAACACACTGCGTTGGGTATCGGAAACAGACATGGAAAGGATGAATAGCAACTGGAAAGGATTGCCCAGGACAGAGTTGGATAGAGAATGCTGGTGAGTGACCTATGCTCCTCCATTAGGGGTAATAGGCATAAGTAAATAAGTAGGTTATTACATAAAATTAACTGAAGCTTACTAGATTAGTGCAGTTGATCGCTCGAATGTGACAGTTATTTTTCAGGCTAAATATTTATAACTCCAAAAAGATTTTTAAGAAACCATTATAATATTGTTTATATAGAGGTCTGTATGAAAAACATCATTGAACCTGGTGAGTAATTTATTTCTTGTAACACTAAACTCTACTAATGTTCAGCTTAAATTAATCAGTGGTATGGGGTATTGTCACTTAGCATCGAAGTGTAACTGTTATTATCGTCAAACTTATGGGTTTTTACTAGGATAGAATATTGTAATTACATCCAAGTTTGAAGTAAAAGCTTTTTATCAAATTTTAAAGATGAATGTGAAAGTTTCAAATCTATTTTATCATATACCAGTTATCTATCAACAAACTGTTTATCATTCATTTGTTTTCTACATGAAATGAATCAAAATATATCACTGACCACACCTAATGGCCAGTTGTGTGGTATACGTCTATGAAGAGTGAATTTGTTTTGTGTAGTTTATAATAAATAATCATTGACATTTATAAGTGAGTTAGATAAAACGCTCAGAAATCTTAACCAGTATAATTTTAAATACAGAATATTAAGGATAGGACTCATGTTTGTAAACGAATAGTAATATTATTAAACGAATGTAATCTTTGTTATTAGAAAGAATGTGAAAATAAAATTTCAGTTTTAACTGCATTATGCATTGAAGCTGCTACAATTTAGGTGTTAAAATTGATCAGATCAGTGGCAGTATTATGGTAAGAAAAATTGGCCTACAAGTATATATTAAATTCCGTGTAGTGAAGATAGTTTCCGTTTATCCATTAACTTATGTATTTAAGCACACAAAATCTGGTACAACAAGTTACTAAGAAATAGAATGAGACACATGAAGTATGGATACTACTGTGAGAAAAAGAGAGTACGTTTCAAGAGAAGGTAGTAACAATAAAAATGATAATACTAGATTACTTTGCAAAGTAATTAGCAGAAAAAATATGTGATAAGAAAGGTAGTTCCGTTGGCAAAACAAACGAGACAATTCAGGATTCTTTCAGCTAAAGAATTTCCTCCCATATTTATGATTAATACAAAAGAAAATTACAGCCGGATAGCTATATGATTTCTATTCTGAGATACCTGAGAGTGCATCAAGTCACTGAATTGTAACATCTCTAGGACCCCCCAACTAAAGAGTCACGAAAGCTTGACAGATTCCAGTCTTATAAAGCTTTCTTTCATGCCACTGCACAATCTCATAAATTGACAACCTCGCCGTTTGTTCCATCCTGTCCCATCGTCAACGAATAATGTATTACGTGAAATTCACTGGGGTGATGTTGATAGTACATGTCCAAACCACAGCAGTCAATGTTTCAAGACAGTGACACCAATGAATATACATTCTTGAACCTTTGAACTACTAACATGGTGTTACCATTGAATATCAACACTCCTTTGGAGACAACGAATATCAAACACAGAGAGTTACTTAACATCCGTAACTCGGAGAGGCCAGGTTTCTCAGGCATAGGACAAAACAGCTCATCCTGACGCGTTGCTAATCAGGCTTTTTAAAGCCAGACTAACGTCATAAAGGCCTCAAAGATGGAGCAGATAGGTATAGGCGGCTCTAGATCTCACCATACGCAGACTGATCACATCAGTTGTACCACCATCAGCACTCACGCAGTCACCCGAATACAAGAACTTTTCAATCAATTTTAATGGCTTACTATAAAGGGTAGGTGTTGGGAAAAGGTTTTGCCGGTCTTGTAGAAGTACTTTATATTTAAAATGTTCAATTATATCCTTCTGATAAAGTGTGACTCGCACAACTTGCTTATTATCGTACAGTAAAACAATATCATTCACATACTGAAGATCGAGAAGTTTTTCTTCATCAAACAGATTTACATTACCGCAGTTTCATCAGAGCTGTTTCCAGAATGTCATCGATGGAAAAGTTGAAAAGGAATGATGAGACTGAGCTACCGTGCCTAGCTTTATTTTTGGAATCGAAAACCAAGAGACATGGGTATTTTCCTTCATGGTGGCTGAGATGTCTTGATAAAGAGCCTTTACGATGTTAATAAACTTCGCATATACACTCTTTCTCAACAAAAAATCCCAGTATACGCTTCTGTCCGATGGATTGAAGGTGACCCTGATATCAAGAAACACAACAATGTTTAGTCTACAATGAGTATGGGAGTGCTATAGGTTTTAGCGGAGAAAGTGATGGTATAGGCTTTTTTCCTTAACAGTCAGTTTTTCATGTATTTAGAGCAATCTACGAAGTACGACGAAGGGCACTAGTTTGGATGAAATAGGAAGTAGATTGATCCGCCAATAATTGCCGCATCGATTACGAAGACCCTTTATAAAGATGGCAACGATGACTGGCTCACTTCAAGCTATTGAGACGAACTCTGCTTCCAAACGACACACCTGGTTCCTTGACCAGAAGTTCGCCCCATCCTCAAAAAGACCTAAGGTTAAGTCTTTATCACCGGTAGTTTTTGGGAAAGTCAAAAATTGAAGTTTCTTTAGATTCAACCGACACTAGACAGTAAAGTAACCACAGTCTGATCTAATTTACAGGGGTAACTGTCAAGCTGAACTGTTCCTCAAAAAGCTCTGTTCATCATCCAGGACACTCTGAATGCCACTAATTGGGTTTCTATCAGCTTTACAGATTTGTTTCACTCACACCAGGCCTCTTGCCGCCAGTGAATCGGATGAGGTGAAATAGCCTCTGGAAATTGCCAGACGAAGCTTATGTTCTCGACTCGATAGCTCACTTCAACCACCAGGTTTATCAGTACTTACTCAAACTCTGCGAAATTTCCTTCATGTGAGAATCTACGTTTATTATCAAACTCACGATTAGCAGGAGTAGATTGACATTTCACAAGGATTCATAAGGAGCCTGGAGAAATTCAGTTCTTATAAGCGGAAAGTCTCACGAAACTCCACGTGAATTCATGAAGTCTATCTTACTCAACCAACGTTCACCTCCTCATTCCAGTGGACTGACTGCTAACGTTGACCCCAACTTGGTTTTACATTCGGTTGTAAATGAAACTACAACTAATGTTCTTATACCACTCGGTTTATGACGAGACTTTTCTTGAGTACGAACACCTGAAGTAAGCTTAGGTGTAACCAAACCATGGTCAGAGTTCAGATAGGTACTCAGAAAGAAGTGGATTTCTTAAATAGAATAACAGTAATGGTAGCTGATCGCGGTGTTGTAGAGGATAGATGTCAGGTGGGAGATCAGTGACGACTGCCTCGGGAGCTGGTGCTAGGGTCCTGAGATCGTCTTAGACAAAGCGGGACTTTTACTATAAATGAGCTACTAAGTGAGTTGTAAAATAAAACCGAAATAGGAATAAAGAGGAACAGGTAAGTGACTCAGCATTAAGTAAAAACGAATGTAACAAAATAAATGTGGACATCGACTGTGTGAATAACTAAGTGGAATGAGGACAATTTCTTTTCACTAGAAATTATCATTATGTTTCTGTGTAGGCTAGGTTAATTCCCGGACACTCAAACCGAAAGAGATAATTTTCTTAAGGAACCGCTCTCGGAACTCGAAATCAAAGGGTCCAATTCACAAGGTAATGAATTAACATCAGGGGATTCAGTCCCATGGTAGCCAGTGACCGAAATATATTTATTCTCCACTCGTTCCTGTAGGATCCAGGCGCTCATGTGCACCATTGGTTTTATAACTAGGGTACCAGATTAGTACTTCTTAACATATGCTGTAAAATGGTAGTGAAGTCGTCTATAAAGATAATCAAAAGCTTTTCAACTAAACTACTTGCTTCAATGAATGTAAAACTAACATAAGTATTTATGTAATCTGCAAATTCTTTCCATTATTTCAGAATTAGCTATTCCTCAATCTTATATATCTGACTTATTAAAACTAATGTTCTTATTTTCTCAGATGCTTAAGAATACGATAACAGACCATTTTCATTATTATGAATCATCAGTAATTTATCACCAGTGGTATTAATTTAGATTCATTATGATTTAAACGAAGTTTGTAGTTCTAAATTATTGTTTTATTGTTTACAGTCTGATCAGACATATTTTCATTACAAGAACTGTGTGTCCTATGTTCAATGTTCCCTGATTTCCAAAAGCTCTGTAAATCATTCTTGTTCCTATTGAAAACTATCTTCAAATCAATTGAATCTTTACAATTGTCCAAATGAAATTTTAATGACTTTAAATTAATAGGGAAAACTTATTCGTAGGATTCATTATACTTTTTCTGGGTTTTTTTAAACACATATGCCTAAATTATTCCATCTTATTTTTTGGAAAAATATTTAGCAAACTAGGTAAAGTGTAACTTTAAACATTTCAAATGTATAAACTGGAGAGGTATATGCTTTTTGGATAGATGAATTAGCAAATATACATTTTATATAATCTTGATTAAGATAATCTGCACGTGATGCTATGACTATGATACTATTTTAGCCTTGCATAGTAGTAAATCTGTAATTAATATAATCATTGTACTTCTGTTCAGAATGAACCATTTGACATGAGTGAATGATTTAGTCCAAATCCATTGACCATCTGTCAGTTTACAAATATGCCGAAAAAATCTGCTTAGTTGATTGTGAGTAATCATGAAAAACTATCAACATGATATAGTATAGTTTTTACGAAGGTAAATTAATGGCCAAATTATATTTGATAGGACAGCATAACATTTCATTTAACTTTGGCTAACTTCAAGGTCGTGTACTTTTAAACAGAGTTTCACTACCATAACACAAATTGCGCATACTGTTTGTTCGTATTTACTCAAACAAACAAAAATACAAAATGTGTTGACCAATAGTAAGATCTATGCTAAGAAAAACAAATCTACAGTTCCTTCTTACACGTAAAATGGATGTGAATGTGTGTGTCAGACTGCTAAAAATAATTTTATCTATTTAAATCATCGAAAAAAGAGAGTGGTGATTTAAATGTATACTCACATACACTTATCATTATCAAGCATTATTGACCATGGTAAAAAGTCTACGTTACACACAAAAATAATATTTAGATTTGTAGGGTTTTTATCCGTTGACTAAGTAAGTTGATTTACTTTGGGCGATAAACTGAGTTGTTAGGTATATAGTGTCTAAGATAATTTGAAAAAAGTACACAAAGTATATGTTTTCATTGGTGTATAAACTAGGATTTTGAGAGTAATTTTCATCAGGAAATAACTCCAACTAAGAGATCATTGAAAACCAAAGAGGATTGGACAGCTGTTTTTTCGTAATGTGAAACTGCTTACGAATGAATACTCACAAATCCACTCATAATCGGGTCTAGAATGTTTGGGTCGCCCACCAAGCAGGGTACAATTCAGCTGTAATCTAATGATCTACTGTTTACACGTCTAACCACTTCAACATGAAGCACGTTTATTACGAGTTACATCAGATTGTATTCTTCTCAATTCTGAATTCGATGACTTCAAATATCACGGATTCAAACTAAAACTTCTGAAAATTCACCTTGAAACTAGTCACCAGTTGTCACATGGTCATTATTAATCTAGATGGTATCGTGGAAATCTAAGTCTATTTAGAGGGTGATTTTCGCTTAGTGGGTTTGCATTGGTGTGAGATCTCATAGTGGAATGCAGTTGTTGTATGGTGGCTCCATGGTTTTTTATTGATTCTATAGTTGGCATCAGTCCCAAATCAAAATTACCTCCTGAATGCTCCAAATGTTTGTATAACCGCTCCATTGAATAATAACATAGGATCATCAAGTACGACGTAAACTTGACTCTGAATGGAAATACAAGAAAAAAGGCATCCAACATATTGTACTATTGAGACATTTCGTCTAAAGATAAAAGTATGATAAATCAACACAATTTTGCGATCAACAGTATGAGTCCTGTCACAACCTAGAACATGAATTATGACTCCAGATTATGAAAGCCATTCTACTAGACAATTCCATCTCAACCTACCTAGGTGATATTTGAACTGCTTATCCCATATAAGCTTTTTAATATTTTTCTTCATAAACCACGAATAATTGAAAATAATCATGCTGAATTGTCTTACTTGTGTTAAGCGGTTTTATGTACATATATGAACAAAATTAAATTCAAACCATTTAGAAACGAGAGTTAGGTATAGGAATGATGATCGAAAGAACTGTTTCGATATTATAGCTTAAACTCAAGGTTACGATATTATTTTTTCCCCAAATTTTCTAACGACTTAATAACAATCGGAATCTTAGATGTCCATAGAAGTCCATAAGTAACTATCTTCGATCATATGTAGAACACATTATACTTTTACTTGTACTTATGATTTTTTTCTAGACCTAGTCACCGAATCACTTATTAAATGGTTTCTTGATATGTAAGAAAAATACATATCATCAGTATACACTCCTTCATATTTTGACGTAGATGGTCACTGGTCTTTACCTGTGTTGGTATATATATATAAAACAAATTATTTTAAATTTTAAATTATTAAACATACCTGTATGTGTTCTAGTATGACGTTTCAAGTCAAATGTATCATTGAATCCTTTGAAACAAAACTTGCATAAATACCTATGTAACTGACTATGACATTTAATATGTCGTGTTAAAAGACGTAATAATTGGAAACGTTTACCACATGCTTTGCAAACATACTCATTTGGACCTATTTGAGAAGCTAAGGAAAACAAGGAAAAATAAAAACGAAAGAAAAGAAGTATTGATTTACTTAAAGAAGGTAACTATAATAACATTCGTTCTACAAATAAGAGCACAAATATTATAGTTTTGACTTTATAATTAATCATTATACCCCATTGTCGATTACTTGAAAAACATAATTTTTAACAGTTGTAGACCATCATTTTATAAATCCTCGTTATTCGAGCTTAACTGATGATTCTAAAAATACGAGTTAAAATAGACAACGGTAATACAGATAAATACTTTACATCCGACACTAATGTGTTGCCATGAATCCAAACTGACGTCAATGGGACATTCGTGTCTACTAATGTCTACCCTTAGAAATTGGAGCATTTATTACAAATTTTCCCTCTCATGGAACATGCATTTTTTTAAATTGAAGAATACTTAATGCTTGCTGTTAATATCCCACTATATTGATATATGAGACCAAAAGAGACTAAACTTGTTTTGAATTATTTTTTTTACACCTTAGAAAGCATATAACGTTAATCATTGTTGGTTTGATATGAAAATGCTCGGTCGATCAAAACAGTACTAGACATAATTAGATTATAATATAGGATCAAAGTTATTTTGTCACTAATTATGTCTTCAGAAATACTTGTACACCATTAAATGCATTACATTTACATTATTAATTTATCATTATGTAGGAAACAATTATATTTTCACTGGTATGTACTTAACTATTAGGTAGTCAACAAACTTTTAAAAACCAGCTACTATCAATGATCTTAAAATTGTTGAAATATTAAGCTTTTTAAATTACACTTCAATGAACTTTGGATGAAAGTAATTGCCTAACTTGATCAGATCAATCACAGAGATACTGCCAAAAGCAATCTCCAAATCAGATTCTTACTTCAAAACTTTATCTTATCGACATATTTTTGAAATGCTATACGACGAATTAGTTTCTTGATTACAATGAACCAACAACATAGTGAATGAGAAAATACTCAATTTTTATTCAGTAATTTATCATTATACACGTCAAAACTACTTTTTATCTTGAAAAGCTATACTAAGTGTAAAAATGTGTCCGTTTTTATAGTAGTTTAGTTTAGAGGAGGTAAACATAGGAAATTATGAAACTTCGGTAAGGATTTCATGGGGAATTTAGTTTGTTTAACTTGAATGAGTATTTGTCAGATAGTTAGTATTTGATATTACCATTTTTATCCTAACTCCATGCCTTCTTGAATTATTAATGATTATTATATTTCTATTTTTGTCAAAAATAATATTTGGTTCATCATAATATATCTAATTTACGTTCCTTTTGAAATATATAAACTTTGTTATAATTGCTGTCTTTTACCTTGAGTGTATGATCACGTTAATTATGAATCAGAATAATCAAAAGTACTTGTGGCTGTTTATCTGAACTTTTGCTGCTCCAATTAAAGATTTGGAAAGGTAACAATTAGTATTAATAATTATCTGTTCAAAACCTACCTACAGATCAGTTATGTCACAAACGATAATCATATTAATAATAATCTCTGTAGCTGATATAAAATACAGAGCATACCGTTCCAGTAGACATTTTATTAGATGTAATTTAACGTTAATAGAAATTGAATTAATTATTTTATGTCAGCATGTTACCAATAGTATTAGCATATTAACTTTCTCCTGAACAGAATTGAAACTGTGAATGTCAATCTATCATGAAATTTAAAACCCAACCCACTTTCATTAGCTTTGTTAACCATAAAATGAATCTAAAGTTTTTCTAGTTGACCACAATTAATAAATATTATTATTAAACACGTAACATTATTTTTGTTATGTGAGTTAGTCAATAAAAACTATTTTATTCCATCATGTAAATATATTCTTTTAGTAAATGTACTTATATAAAAAATAAATTGAGTTTTTATTTATTTAATGGTTGAGATCATGAGTCAATTGAAGCTAGACCATCATGGAAAACCTAGAAGCACTGGACAGCTGTTTCGTCCTATTATGGGACTTCTCAGCAGTGCTCATCCACGATCCCGCCTCCGTGGGATTCGAATCCAAAACTTATCAGTCTATTTATTGTAAACAGAAAATAATTTTAATTAATTAATTTGTCTATGCTGAAAACAAATGAAAGTTTGACTAATATTACACCAAGTAATTCATCAGAATAGGTTTTTGAAAGTGGATATTATGGGAATACATCAAATTTATTAGGAGGCGAATTATTTTAAAACAGAGCTAACACAAAGTCAATACGAATAAGCCAATAATATGAACTGATATACAAAAAGATAACTATTCAAAGTGAACCTTATTAACCATATATTTTTTTAATTTAAAGCTTTCTAGCACCGTAAATTTTACAAAGTTTAATATACAAAATAAATTTGACAATTGTATAAGATTCCAAAACACTTATATTGATTGTTTCTGCTAATCATTTGTCACCTATCTGAATGTTATTTTTTACATTTTTGTCCAAATGAACACTGAATATAAATCCCAGGATATTTATGCTATTTCTTGGCTTACTGGTAAATGGGTAAAGGATAACCCATTTTTGTATAAATACTGTTCTGTAACATATTTAAAATAATATGAGCTGGATCAAATTAGCTGTTTGACATTTTAATCAATAATTTGTCATGATGTGTGTTTTATGAATATACAGTTTAATGTTGATCAGTAAGAAACATAACTGTCAAAAATACTTAAATTTGAACTATTTTAAGAAAAATACTTCAAAATATCAGGAAATATTCAAAACGAATATTTTTAAGAAGGAATTAGGAAACTTTCAAAAAATTCCCATGAAGATCTGAACAAAATTCACAGATAAAAATTTAACAATTTAAATATTTATGAGACGTATCTGGCTAGCAGCAAAGTCGATTTTGTCAGGCCTATGATTCATTGTTACCACCTAACCAGAAATTGTCTGAAAAATTGTCGTTATTTCAAAATAGAACCTCCTTTCATTGTATTCGCTAAATGACATTCTCTCATCTATAGCTTTTCACTATGTAGAATTCATTACTAATGAATGGAAGTTTATACCTTTTTCAGTTGAAACCCATATAGCATTTTAATGTCTTGTGAAACATCAAACCAGCTAATGACACAATTTAGATTTTTGATAATCTTTAGAGTAAACTGATAAATTAAAACAGAAACACTTAGCGTACAATAATCATCTGCTCACTAGTGACTGACTTCGAGAGATACTCCTGGAGTTCTAGTGAGAAGCCGTTACCAGTAGAGTTCAACCAGGTCTGTTGTGAGATATCAGCTCACTGAAGACAATGGTATACGGTGGCGCAACTTCGCGGATTGGTTGAAGTTAGACATTAACACCGTTGGATACCGGCTCAGTGGTCTAATGGCTAAGTGCTCGCGTCCAAAACCAGTAGGTCCTGGGTTCGAACCCCGCGGGGTGCGGGATCGTGGATGCGCACTGCTGAGGATTCCCATACTAGGACGAAGCGGCCGTCTAGTGCTTCCAGGTTTTCCATGATGGTCTAGCTTCAACTGACTCATGATTTCAATCTGTGAAATTTCTAAAATCTCCACAAACCCCTTCTGACTTAGTGTATAATCACATTTGATTTAGGTTTGAGTTTCCAAACTAAGGTCAGTATATCTTATCCTCGAGAAAAAGATTATATCATGTTCAGTAAACTTTTTATTACACAAAAGTATCGGTGAATCATTTGAAAATAATGGAAACTTTGTTTTCTTCCAACGTTTCTTTTAAAACAAAAGGATTTGAATTAATTAGAATATTCGCTAAAAGTATTTTGTATATTCAACAGCATAAATAATTAACAATGATCTCGTATTAGTAAACCAATAATAAAAGGATTAGAGATTTTTTCTAATCACTACAAAAACCAAAAGTTTTTTTATGAATCAATGATATTATTTAGCAAGAAACGACTTTTTACCGGTATCGATATAGGTCATAGTTATTTTGAATCTAAAACTAGAGAACCAACAAACACGATTTTTATTGCAGAACAATCAATGGTGTAAAGCTATTACTGTACACGAGGCTGAACGTAGGATCCTTAAGATGCAAAGGCAGGATGGTGCTAGCTATTTACTGCTTCGAAGCTCAAATGTCTACATTTATGTATTCAGTCACTTAGTAATATGAAACATTGTGATCGATCTAAATTAGAAAAGGATCCATATTTTCTTCTAAACACTTATTGTTGTTTCCAAATACATTCAATGAAGTGTAGAGATAACTATAAATCAACACTTTTGGCCCTATGGTAGATAATTATCGGACACTGAATCATTCAGCAAAGTAATCAATGTTTACTAACACTTCACCTTCTATATCCAGATTTTAACTGGGACTATGAAGCTAATGCAGTTGTACAGGTGAATAGAATATCTGATAACTATGGAAATACCGAAAAAATGCATTTATTTATTTATTTCAGCATCGATTTGCTGATTATTTGTTTCCTCTCCTAAAATGATCAAAGATTAATGAAGCAACATTGTAAAGATAATTAGATCTTTGAATGATAATTCAAGTGAATCGGTAACTTTAAATGATTTCCTTTCACATTTTGAAAACACTTAACTTCATGTGTATTTTGCTTTAGCAAAATGATATTATTGGCTTATGCCAAAGCTTGGTTTCTTAATTGACTTCTTTTATCAGAGACTATGATTTTAGATGTTATTATTAAGCTATTAACTTTGCTTGACAAGATTTGTGTTCAAAGTTTGTTTCATCGCATTTTTGAAAACATCTAATTTTCTACAAAATACTTGTATACTAATTCTGAAACGTAAATGAGGTCAGTCAACAAATAGAATAGTTTGAAAGTAACCTTTCTCACAAAGTATTGCCCTCTAAAGAATCATAAAATAAGAAGAAAAATGTTCACTTTTAGTCTGAGGCTCATTATAATAAGCATCAGTTGCCTTAATACGTGAATGAGTATAAGAGTGATATATTTTGCTGCCAACATATAGTGATTAAATTAATGAGTTAGGGCTAAAGTCAGAAATGTAGACTATTTGGTTTCTATATGTACCGTAAATTATTTTCGTACTTATCAAAGTGTAAAAGTCATGAAAATGTCGTAACAAAACTCAGTAATAAGTGTAAAAGAAATGAGTAGTGGAAAATTTAAATCTATTGATGTAGTAAATACATCTCACAAACAAGTTTTTTAGAAGGATGGATAACTGTCTTGAAGCTCTGTAAATCAAACCACCAACATAAGGAGTCTTAAAAATATAATTGTAGTAACAATGATTGAAGTCACTATCTGAGTTGCGTTAGGCAACCACTGAAAGCTTGGAAGCAGTGGTCGGTTGTTTCGTCCCAGTACAATGCCCATCACTAGTGGATACCCACCAGTCCACAGCCAGAAATCGAACCCAGGACCCTCATTCTCGTGCGGGAACATCTAGCTTATAGACCATCGAGCTGGCATTCAATCGCGTACAGGTCTAACTTTAATCGATCTGCGATATTTCGGGTCCATCTCTCATTGTCTTTGGTCAACACCTTCCTCACACTCGAAGTAATTGAACTCCTCTAGTCACGGATTCTCCCTAGAACTCCGGAAGTTTCATATCAAAGCTAGTCACAATAGGTACACGATAAATGTCATCATGAGTTTGTGATGATGCTTGAATTCCATTAAAATCATTTGCCTGGATTAGAGTATAAAAGACTCATTTAAATTACAAACAATCAGCTGGATATCGTCACTAATCCATTTCCCATTTGTAATCTGTTTAAATACTCACCATATATTTAAAGAGTTTTGCAGAATGAGTTTTTGAAACTGCACGGAACTCAGACCTTGATTTCTTCGTTTATTAAACCATTTAGCCTTCGAAATTTAATGTGGTTTTTCACTTTCCCTCCTACATCTTTTTATTTGTAAGTCGGTCAAATCTTACAAAAATTGTTTCACTGGGATAATGAACAATAAAACAGAACCAAAGGTAAAGAGTAATAATATCAGTGGTGTTTTCTAATGAGTCATTTTTAAGTAAATCCCAGTTTGTCGTCTAAAACATGTTTTTCAGTTCTTTGATATTTTTTTGAGTAGTTTTTATATTTAACTTTCTTCGTCTGATGTAATAGTGGACTCTCCCCAAGTCTGCCATATACTTTAAGTAGGACATAAATAATACAATGATCAGAATCACGTAATGAAGCCCGTGTAAAATTTACGTTTATTCCTATATCACTAATGAAAATTAAGTGGCGAAATCGATTAGATTTTGGTAACCTAGAGATGGAAGAAAGTTGCAATCACTACGTGCAACTGAGGATACAACAATGAAGGCAGTAACAGCAAGTTCAGTGAAGTCATCAATGAGAACGGATAGTTAAGATGATGTGCAGTCCATAGTCACATAAATGTTAGCAACATGAGCATAGTTGTACATGTTCAAGTAAATGGACGGCATTTTTAGGTTACACAGTAGATAAAATAATTTGATAACTTAAAACAGATAAACTTAGATTGATACTAGTTCACATTTACAAATGTAGCTACACCTTCGCCACACTTTTTCTGATTACTTGATAGATCCTGAATATAAATATTTCAACTATATAGTGATACTAAACAATTGTCGTGTAAATCATTTAACTAGGACTATTGAATTGTGATTACACCACAACTACGATATACGTTTAGACTTAGTAGGAATCAAAGATAGTCTACTTCGCCAAGTAGTGATCGGGGGTTGGAAGTTAGCAGATCAGGAATAAACACATGATTAACGTTCATTCTCTTTAATGCATATTGTCAGCCACTGTAATATCTCTGCATTGGATATTACCTTGTACAGCGATAGATCTCAAACTTTTAATATACATGCCTGAATAGGTTATGCAGTTAATGAACATGGTTTATGAATTAAAAAACACAAAAGACTTGTTGAAATTTTTGAATAATAGGAAGAATAGGTACCTCATGTATCAAAGCAAACCGGCAATCAACAATCAGCCACTTACCATAAAGACGATTTAGCCATTCCCTTTCAAATTTTGTGCTACATGCCAATGGATTTTTAATTCCAGCACCATTATTGATAAATTCAACGGGACCAATACATTTTAATAAATCAATTGTCGATGAAGTCTGGAAGAATACAAAACAAATAAAATTGAAGATGTGCTAGTCACAGTGATGATGGGAATTTTAATAAACTTGTATGTATTTCAAGTATCATTACCAAAGTTTAATTTGATAATTATTAATGTTACTTTATTCTATATGTAAAAAAGATATAATAATAAAAAGGATATAAGGATTCCAATATAATAGATACATTTTTGTTCTATGGTTCTTATTTCTTAACCATCCGAAAAAAGTAAGAAACCAGTTAAAATAAGCAAAATCTTCAAAAATGTTGTGTGTATCAGCAAATTTATTATTGTATATAGAGCATTCTGAGTCTACTGTGGCAAGAAAAAACAAATGGTATTTATAAACTCTCGACCGTTGTTGCTAACTTGACGTGGTGGTCGAACTTGCCTATCTTGATGAATCAATAAAGCTATACTGGCTGGAACAGTCGTTCCTCAAGGTCCTTCCCTGCCAGACAGGTTTGCTGAAGAGCGGTAAGACTAAAAGCAACAAACCCAAGGTATGAGGGTTAATTCGTACTGCTGACTATACAGAGGTGTGACGGCACTAAGATGTTTCCTTCAGATAACCAGCATAGCAGCAATGATGTCTTTCCACAAGAAGGAGTGGGATTAGAAAAGGTCGACCCTAAAAATGCACATCTTGCCTTGTCCCATGGATATCAGTCTCCGGCGGTAAGGTCTCAACAAGTACGGAGCTGACATGAAAATTACTCACAAAAAGGCCGTGTGTGACCGACCTCAAGCAGCACTGTGGTCACGTTCTCAGGTCACTAAGACCACCTCTAATCCAATTTTTTTTCAGGTACCTCCAGAAGAACCCTTCCACTGCGTGGGCAACCGGGAAATGATAACCGCGCTCATACTTCTAACAGCACTCAAGACCACTGTATTCGACTGACTGATTTATAGATTATGTATGTTTTAAATTAACTTAATATAATAATGCAGTAAGTGGTCTTCCAGACAGTGAGAAATGAATTTTATATAAGGGAGAACTGATACCATTCTTGAGATCTAAATCCGTCTCATCAGGTGTTAGTTTAGAACTATTATTAGTGAGGTATTCTGGCTTTCTGCAAGACAGATTTCTATAGTAGTCAGTGTCTTGAGATAGTTACCTACCGACTGCCTACAACCAACTTATGCCAAGCGGAACTCATCGAAGTGTTATGTCAGTCAGTTTAATAGTTGTTTCAATTTCATTTTATTACTGTCCACTAATTGAATAACACAAATATTTGTAACTTCAATAACTGAAATACGTTTACATAAGCAGTGAGAAAAGGAAGTTTATCAGAACTATGTGATCTATTAGAGTTATAAATTGAAATAGGATTAAATTTTCTAACAATTAATATATAACGGAAGATCTAAAGTACATTCTTTAAAGATACTCTCAATGTTCCAAATTATTTCTTTGCAGAATAATAATTTATAAAGAATAATCCTTTTTTTCCAGTTTAATTTGCATAGGTTTTAATTTCTTTTTCTTTTTGAGTTCACCAGTTTTAAATGGCATCATTTTTTGACATTCTTAATCAAACTCACATAATGAATTAACAATTACACTTGATTGATAAATAATAAAAAAAGAAATAGAGATCACAATTACTTGTACACTTTAATTAGGTTTTAATTGAAACAGGTTTCCCCTAGTGATTATTATAATTATTGTTATTTCTTATTGTAATTCATATTCTATTCTTACAAAATGGTATTGGTATTACTGACCATTGTGAATTAATGTATGTATATTTATTTATATGTATTTTATTAGTATCTATCACAAAATTGTTGTTAACTAAACTTAAGTGATTACACAACAAATTCTGAAACTGAACTAAACAATTCCTTTTGTAAATTTATTAGATATGAGATGATACTTATGAATTCAGGAAATGATTTTGCCTTACAATTAACAGAAGAGAAAAGAGATGTTATTTAGTTAACATATCAGTATGAATATCCTAATCTAAACATTACTAATTATCTTGAGTTGTGATTATTTTAGTGTGACTTGAACCCTTAAATTTTGATTTTGATTGTCATCATTATTATCAGAAACCTGGAGGCACTGAAAGGCTGTTTCGACTTATTGTGGGACTACTTAGAAGTGTGCATCCACGATCCCGCCATATGCTCACTAGTGACTGACTTCAAGAGATATTTCCTGGAGTTCTAGTGAGAGACGGGTACCAGTGGAGTTTAACCAGGTCTGTTGTGAAATATTAGCCCACTGAAGACAATGATGGATGTGTCGCTCAATTTCGTGGATTGGTTGAAGTTAGATATTAACACCGTTGGATGCCGACTCAGTGGTCTAGTTGTTAAGCGCTTGCGCGCGAGACTGGTAGGTTCTGGGTTCGAATCGCACGATGCGGGATCGTGGATTCATACAACTGGAGTCCCACACTGGACCAAACGGCCGTCCAATGCTTCCAGGTTTTCCATGATGGTCTAGCTTCAGTTGACTCATGATCTCAACTATCATCATTATTGTTATTACGTAAAGACAAATCTAGTTTTCACCAATCATTTCTGTAACCAATGTTATGTAATGATGGAATTAATTTTTAAACCGCTTAAAATTATGAGTTGTATGAATAAATGGATGAAGTTTTGGAAATTCCAAAAAACGATTTTCCTCTATATCTCTACATATAGACATATAGACCAAACGACATAACGCTTTACAGAATAATGTTGTCAATGAACACTGGAATATATGTTTGCGATTTCAATTGTTGTTGTACCTCACAAACTACGAACTTTCAGGTATTATTAAGAAAGAATAAATGTTTGCCATAATTTGCAAAGAGAATCTTATATGACCAAATGACTCGAATCATTACTCACTGTTATTTAATTTGATGCACTTAAAGATACATAAGAAGTATTATACTAATGGTTACATTCAACTGAGTTTACATTGTTGGGTACAGTTCCTATTAGGAACTAAAGAAGGACTATTTTACTATCAGTTTAAGGAAAGGTATCTCATAATAAACAAATGTTATTGGGTTCTGAATAATGCGACTGTATATCAGTGATCTATATAAAATTTAATGAAAACTCCCAGAAATTACTACGGAAAGGAGTTGAATACGATTTTCAGTGTAAATTCCATTGTTTTTTACTTACGCAGATTTTTGGCCTATAGATGATTATTGTTATTCTTGCTGAAGCATCTGATAACAAAGTTTATTCAACAGTAAAAATATTGGTTTATTTACAACAGTCAAGCATATACCGAGGTAAGTGACAAGAATAAAAAATACACATTTATTGAAATCATGAACCGACCAAAGTTAGTCAACCATTGAAAAACATGGAAGCACTGGACAAGCACTTCGTCCTATTTTTTCACTCCTCAGCAATACGTATTCACGACCCTACACACAGGAGTCGAACCAAGGACCTTCGGTTTCATACGCGAACACTGAACATCAGTGGTAGTCTAATTTATATCTGTTCAGGATCTCAATGAAATTCAACAGTCTCCAAAACCTTATAGGTGTATCCCACTTTTCTGTTGTCGTCCTTCACACCATAACTAAATAAGTTCATTTACTCTGTGCAAGGTCGACCTTAGAAGATGAATCTTCTCTGTTATTTATAAGTCTGACTACTAAATTAACATTATGCAGAAATTTCATAGTTTTTATTCTCTGAATTATTTGCCTTATATACATTAATCGTCTTCATTTTAGAAATGAAAAAAACTAATCTGATATGAGAAAAACAGTGTGCTTTGCTAATTATAAGAGTAAACATTTTTGCAGTATTATGTACATATATCATCACTGGATCAATTTATAAACGTTCTAGTTTGATCGATATTTTTTCGCTTAGTTTTTCATAACACTTTTTTTCTTTTGTCCTGTATTCAGATTGAGTACTTGTGCACAATGTAAACGATTGAAAAATACTCATTTTCAGTATACTGCGTACTGTCAACTAAATAATATTTATCGCCGTTGAAAATTTTTGAGATATTTGATGGTCATGAATTCAGTTGCTGTTACATTAGCTGGCTTATTTTGTTAGAAACCATAGTAGTAAACTGTGATTATGATTCAAACGTTGAATTGTTACTGATTATTTGAAGTGATACGTTTCTATTTTATAAAATAAAAAACAACTTTAGCTGTTTAGAAGATTTAATCAACGATTATCTTGCTTTAAGATATCATAAATGATAAATTCAGTATTAAATACTTGATAAAGTTCTGAATTAAATTTTTTGTGCACATTCATGTCAACGTAACTAAATAACTTCAACCTCTTATCATTATAGTACTAATTCTCTGTCAACTTTTGCTTTAACCTTGCAAAAATGTTTACAGCAAATATGTAGTTAGGATGAAATCCTCTTATTTGCATATATTTGTCGTTAGGTTTATGAATGAAGGCTTTTAATAATCCGTTCTTCCATCAGTAAACTTATTTTACCTAAATTTACGATAAATAGTTTAGCGAACATCCTAAGTTCTGATACATTTTTGTATTGGCTGTTTGAATCTTCCCACTGGTGTTAAGGATTATAATTGATCAGTCTCATATTAGCATATGTACATCCTGTAAAGATTGCCTCGATATTGCCTTAAATCACAAGCATTATAAGCAGAGATGGTGGTGGCTAGTGGTGGAATCCAGGACAGGTGATTCTTTCTATTTAGGACTCGCCAGCTGGATGTACTCGCATCTCAGAGTTGATGTTTACTCCGGTGTTCGAACCTAATACCTTTAGCTTCAAACGCCATAGCGTTATCTACTTAGCTACTGAGTCCTGATAGCCACTAGCTTATGCAATGGGGTAAAGCTAAGTGGATAACACGATGGCGCTTGAAGCTAAAGGTATTAGGTTCGAACACCGGAGTAAACATCAACTCTGAGATGCGAGTACATCCAGCTGGCGAGTCCTAAATAGGAAGAATCACCTGTCCTGGATTCCACCACCATCTCTGCTTATAATGCTTGTGATTTAAG